ATGCCAGGGGAGCAAAAAAGTCACTCCCAGCCCCTCCAAATGGGCCCACTGTTACATTATAGGGGATTTGCCAAGTGTTGGATAAGTGTACCATGAGGCAGGTGAACCTATAGCCTTCCAGAGGTTAACTGCACCTCCAGTGAAGGAGTTTTGGTCATGAACAACTGGAAAGCCACGGGTTCTCCAGCTTAATTCTCATCTTGGCCTCTGAAGGTACATTCAGATGGGCATTTAGCCCACAGTTTGCATTACTGTAGGGACAGGTTGGTTCACTCCTTTTCACAGTGATCACATGACATAATTGCTGGAGCAAACCAAATTGTCCCCAGAGGGCTTATGTGCATAGCTTTCTGGCCCCTGTCTTTCTGCTTTTTTGGTATGAGTAGGATCACTCTGGTTTGCTCTATTTCCAATGTAAGATCACTGGGATCAGACCAGAAGTGAGCCTTTTGCCAATATTGTGAAGTTGCTTCGGAAGAAAGCCACTTCAGGGTATTGACAAATTAAATGGAAGTGGGGTGTTTTTTGGCACTCTATTGGGGCAGTGCAATGCTTATAAAAATGTGTGTGGGGTTTTTTTTTTTGAAAACTTCCTCCTGGAAGAAAGAGTAAATAGGAGGGGACAAAGAGTGCCCCCCCCACTTTTTTGGTGACTTGTCAGAAAGATTAGGTCAAGAACCTGTCCTTGCTGAATCCACTGCCAAGTACTGACTGATATGGCAAACTGACAGCAGAAGGAACCTTGGCAGCCCCATGTTTGCTTTGCTTCACTTCATTTGCAGTAACTGCACATGCTGGAAACAAACCAAACAGAGTGATCCTACCCGCAGCAAAAAAGTAGAAGCCCCTGACAAGGACCCACAAGCTGGTATGTCTTATGTCTTATGTCTTATGATTGCCAGAAAAAGGAGTGAACCACCACCACTTCCGCAGTGGACCAAGCAGCGGGACAAATCCCCATCTGATCCTACTTTGAGGGAAGATGCAGATAGGAACACATTGCATGATTGCCAGAAAAAAGAGTGAACCACCACCACCTCCGCAGTGGACCAAGCAGCAGGACAAATACCCATCTGATCCTACTTTGAGGACATGTAGGAAGGACCCTCCATCACTGGGTTTGCAAGGGGCAAAACAGGTCCCAGCAGGCTCAGCCACAATTTGCCCAGTTCAAAAGAGCACTTACAGTGTCCCCTCACATACTAATAGGTTGGTTATATCTTTACTTTTGCTTTGACTCAGTCCTGTTAAATCCTCAAATGCAAATAAGTCACCCCATCAAATTTCCTTATTAGAAGCAGACACTTGGCCTATACCCTTCCATTGCTCTCCTTCCACTCTTCATCTCTTTCCTTGCCCAGGCATGAGGAAGGTGTTGTTCTGGGCTGTGAGGCTTCAGGTGGGCACCCATCAACCTTCAAGGCTGCAGGCAAGCTGTCTCTGAAAGCAGGGTCTGATGTCCCAGTTTCTAATGAGCCTATAAAACATAAACAACATGTTACCATGGTCAGTGAATATGTATGAACTCTTTAAAAAGAAGTGCACGAGCCAAGAAATTACACAATATATTAATGTAGCTCAAGAGGTGTGCCAAGGAGTTACTCCAGGAGATTGAGTCATTCCTGTAGACGAACGCAGAGTACAGTCTGGGTGAGAGAAAGGCAAAATGAAAGAACAGGTCTTCCTGCTTCCATTTTCTGCCCACTGAGGGGTGTGCGCGCGTGCATATCATAATGCTATTTAAATCTGCAAGAGGAGACTGGAACTCAATGTATCCGTGCACTCTCACCTTTTAACAAGAAGGTTTGTGTTCAGTTTTCAAGTTGACAGGGATGTTGGCGGGTCTTTGAGTTCAAATCTCAAGTCCGAGTGTGAGTTTTGGTACCAAGTTCTAAGTCTCAAGCCCCAACTCTGAGTCCCTATTAAAAACAAGCTTTTCCCACCCAGAAAATAGGGAGGGATGCATGAGTTCCAAGTCATCAGTCGAGTCCCGAGTCATTGGGGGGAAAAAATGAATCAGAGAAGTCTGTAACTCAAAAAGTCTGTAAGTCAAGCCATCTGTAAGTCAAGGGTCCACTGTACCAAGTTCTAAGTCCCAAGCCCCAACTCTGAGTCCCTATTAAAAACAAGCTTTTCCCACCCAGAAAATAGGGAGGGATGCATGAGTTCCAAGTCATCAGTCGAGTCCCGAGTCATTGGGGGGAAAAAATGAATCGAGTCCGAGTCAAGTAACCAGTGCAATTTAATTCTGACTTGACATCCCTGGTCCCCTCCTACAAGAGGCCATCTTATTCCTCTCTTCCAAATGTTTGCTCATCTTTGCTGGTTTACTCAATATTCCATTGCTACCGAGCATATTCAGTCTCCACAGGGCTTAGTTTCATAAAACATGTGTTTCTCTTCTGCAAACCTCAGGGGTTCCTGAGGGCAAATGGCATCTCCTTCCTCTTTCTCCATGGGTCCATTTCAATTCTATTTGTTTTGGCACTTACCACCTGAGTCACCATAAAAGAGCCAGTGTGTCCACATATACAAAACTACCTAGAATTAATTCACCTCATCTCAAAAGAGTAGTAATACAGCTAGGAAGCATACTGAGAAGGGAACAGATAGAGGACACTTCCTTTTATGAAAAAGGAAGGCTAACTTTTTTATGTTTTATGTGTCTGCATCTGTGTATGTGAGAAAAAGACAGAGAAGGGAGTTAAATTAGGAAAAAAAAACCAGTAAGAAGTTTTAAAAATAATTAGTAGCATGGGTGGCATAAGACTGTGGAGACTTTTCATCTTCTTTTACAACATTAAAATTCTAGTAAACACCATTGTTTTTCAGGACAGACAAATGAAGGTACTTCTTGACATAACACCTGACCAGCTTATTGCAGTCTCTGCCCAAAGATATCATGATCACCTTTGGTGTAGATGGCTCTAAAAAGGCAGAAAGCACATTCTTGGGCTGGTCCCTGGCTTTTAGGAATGATGCTTAACTGGAATCTCTGTATTTTGAAGCACAAATGGGAGAGGCTTTTGCTTTTGCATGCCGCTCTTGTCCTTCCGAAAGGCATCTGTCTGGCATTCTGAAAAGCAAGGCGCTGGATTAGAAGGGCCCTTGATCTGTTCCAGCAGAGCTTTTCTTTTGTCTTTACTCTGACTTTGTGACTGAACATGGCTCCGCAGGAGCTCCTTCCGATTCCATCAGCTGGAGTTAAAAAAAAAAATCAGACGTTTCCTGAATTGTGAATCATCAGCTCTGCAGACGGCCTAGGTAAATTGGATCTCTTCCTTCCTAGTACAGGCTGTCCAACAGTTCACACCTTTTGACTGTGTTTGTTCCTGGGATTAATGACTTCTCTCAGCTCTCCTTTCTCACTGGAAAGAACCTCTTGGAGGTGGCATGACCTGAAAGAAGGTGTAAATGGCACTTCTACTTGCGTTTCTTCAGATTTTCTGGGGCCAGGCTTGACATTTTGTGATGTCCGTCCACTCAAACTAATAGGTGAAAGTAGCCTCTTTTTTCCCTGTTGAGCACCAGCAAGTTTCATTTGCTAGGGCTAGTCCTCAGACGGGCAGTATACAAGTAGCAGTTAAGCCACTAGTTAAGTCTAACAGTAGTACAACAATCTGGTGCCTTAATGATAGGAGGCATTGCAACAACTCTTGACAATAGATTCTAAAATAAGTTCTCATCACACAAAGTCCTTTTCTATGACAATGTTAAGCTCACTCCCAGCCAGGTTTCCAGCTTCATAGAAAGAATATTTTTGCTTGACTAAATCTTTCTACAGCATGAATAAAACCAACAGTCTAAGTCAGAACAGGAAAAGCTCTTCAGCTCAGATGAAGCAGACTGGTGAAGTCTATGCATGCAAAAGATACAAAGTTCAAGCCTGGGCCAGGCTGGGGAAGAGACTTTCTGAAAATGCTAGAGACCCACTGTTAGTTGGTAGGGAAAATGTTACATTAGATGGGCCAGTGGACTGCCTTAGTGGACACCTGAAAGAAGGTGTCATTTACACCTTCTTTCAGGTCATGCCACGCCACCTCCAAGAGGTTCTTTCCAGTGAGAAAGGAGAGTTGAGAGAAGTCAGCAACTTTCTAGGATGCAATGGACATAACACACAATTCTGAACCAAAGCATAGTAGGGAAGGTGTGACCTTCCAGAGGTGACTGGATTATATTATACATAATATAACTCAGCACTGGACTGCAAAGACAGTACAACCAGTTGCAGGCTAATGGGACTTTTCATTCAACAGCATTGGAAGGAAGAGACATATTCCCCATCTCCAAACTATAGACAACAACAGGGTAGGTGACAAACTGCTGAATCTCCTGCACAGTTACAACTTTGGGTTAATGTGTCTTAAAGCCTAGATTCCTAGGATCCAAGGAATGTCCACATTCCTGAGCTTTTCTCATCTTTCAACAACTGCCATTAGCTTTTGTTTGCTTGTGGTGCTGAACATTCCACTAACCCACATGAATCCTGTTTGACTCTAATGGGGTAAAATATTTTAAATAAATAAAAATAAAATAATGCCCACTGGGAAAGGGACTCGATGTGAATCTTGCAATAGGCAATACCTATACGGAGGCTTCCTTAAAAACTCTGGCTTACAGGAGTCAGTGCAGGCCAGTTTGTTCCCAAGGCACTGCTCAGATTTCCCACTGAAGTGCTGAATCAAAGCTATGCCGTCTGTGCATGTGATTAAAATCCAAAACATCCCTGGGGGTAGGAAGGGCTCAAAGCAAAAAAAGCAACAACAACAACCAGGGAAATGGATAAATTAATAGAGTCTGATCTGCATACGAGGCTTAAATCACCCAGTTATGGATTTCATCTAGGATTATATAAATGTAACAATATTGATTGTAAATATTTTCTGCATTTTTGCAGAACTGTGTTACTCATCCTACAATATTTGTGGAAGAATAATTTGATCATACACTGTCAAGTTTTATAATTCAATGATTTTGCTTGCGGTGCGAGAACAGGCGAGTATCTATATGCAGGAGGAAACAAATTCTCTTTTCTGGCTGATAGGGACTTAAATAGATTTTAAAAAGAATTTAGCTACTTAGACCAGTTGCCACAATAAATTTCTTTTCTGAGACAACCCCTGCAGTGGAATAATTATCAAAGCTCGCTACTCAACCCCTTTGAAATTAGTACCTTTGACCAGCTCTCACCCTAGAGACAGAAAACGACATTTCATTTTTGCACAACACAAGATCTGCTTCCCAGCAGAGCTTCTTGTGGCTCAGAGTACTAAATGGGTCACACTTATAAACACCAAAAAGCCATGCCACAAGCTAATAATAATTCACACAACATTGGTGTTTAATAATCAATAATGCATGTTATATTATTTAACTTGAACCAGCCTATGTAGGTTATTGGTTTTTTTGCCATTAATCTTGACATGGGAAAACTATTGTCTTCCTGCTCAGCAGACCAGTAACACAGATTCATAGAGCTGCTTTCTACAAAGAAACAAAACCCACTACAGTACTGTGATAACAGAAACACCAACTAGCTCTGTCAACTTTACTTGTTTTGTGTTCTTTATTTATTAAACTCATTTTCCACCTTTCCTTCAGGGAACTCAAAGAGGCATACACGGCGATGTTACTGCCTTAAAACAAAACTGGGAGGCCAGGATCCAGCAGAATGCTTCTGCTAACGGAATTATTTCTATAAACAAAACCTGGAGGAGGCGCTACCTTTCTCTTTGCAGTGATTGGTGCACCCCAAAAATCTGCGCCAGAGAGCTGAGAAATTCTCCAGACCCAGCATTGTGGGTGAGGTGTGGGGAAAAGGAAAAGGAAGGAATGTTGGATGTAGGCCAGATCTAGGAAGAGAATGTCTCCTCATTCTGACAGACAGATCTGAATGTAGTCCTAAATCCTGGTCCTAATCCGACACTCCAAAAACTATACTACTATACCTTTTAAAGTTGAATCTTACTCTAATTATCCGTCAAACACCTAATGAAACCAGGTTCAAATATGACTAAAATGGTGTCTCAGTTGCCTGTGGTTGTGTCCCACACTCCTCTGATAATATCTAAACTGAGAACAGTACAAGGATCTGATTATGTGAGAAGCTGGGCCTAGATGCACTGATGTGATAAGTTCTCAGATGATCCTCACTATCCATGAGGTTTTCTGGCTTGCATATATTATTGGAATGGCTAAGTCTAGCCTTGCCATTAGGCAGAATGAGGCCTAAAGAGCAGCAGATGGAAAGGGCAGCAGATTGTTAGTTGTCATTATTAGATTTTTACTGCTAGAGGGAAAGAGTGCTTGAGGTATTTTCTGCAAAGCATGAATGGTAGATGGATTTGCTATTCCAACTCAGATAACAAAATGTCTTGGAATGGCCCTGAGAATCTGGGATTCAACCACAAGTAAAATTCTCAGGTAACATATTTATTTATTTATATGCTGCCCAAGACTCTCTGGGCGGCTTACAATAATTTAACTACAGTAAAAAGATAAAATGATTAAAATACAATTAAAAATACAGAGTTCTAAAAATTGCCATCAGGACCCATAGCTGATATTATTTCAACTTCTAGAACAGGAAGATTTTCACCTGGTGCCGAAATGTCATCAACACTGGCACCAGACGAATCTCCCTTGGGGAAGGTGTTCCATAGTCTGGCTCTTACAATAATTTAACTACAGTAAAAAGATAAAATGATTAAAATACAATTAAAAATACAGAGTTCTAAAAATTGCCATCAGGACCCATAGCTGATATTATTTCAACTTCTAGAACAGGAAGATTTTCACCTGGTGCCGAAATGTCATCAACACTGGCACCAGACGAATCTCCCTTGGGGAAGGTGTTCCATAGTCTGGCTGCAGCTGCCTGTCATCAGCATTGGGGCCAGACGAATCTCCCTCGGGGAAGGCGTTCCATAGTCTGGCAGCAGCTGCCGAAAAGGCCCTTTGTCTACAAGCCATCCCTCTTACCTCCTTGAGGGATGGCTCTTTCAAAAGGGCCCCCTGGCTAGATCTTAACTGCCGGGTAGGTTCATATGAAAGGAGGCAGTCCTTCAGGTATCCAGGGCCCAAGCCATTTAGGGCTTTATATGTCAAAACAGGCACTTTGAATTGGGTCCAGGCAGCAACTGGTAGCCAATGTAATTTGGACAGGATTGGGCTGATGTGTCCCCTAGCCGCCCCACCACTCACCAGCCACGCAGCTCAATTCTGAACCCGGTGCAGTTGCCAGACCATCTTCAAAGGCAACCCCACTTACAGCACATTGCAGTAATCTATATGGGATGTTACCGGTGCATGTGTAACTGTTACGAGACTCTGCTAGCCCAGGTAGGGCCATAGTTGGCATAATTTCCACAGCTGAAGGAAGGCGCCCCTGACTACTGAGTCCACCTGGGCTTCCAGAGTTAGACTGGGGTCCAGGAGCACCCCCAGGCTGCAGACCCTGTCCCTTAGGGGGAGTGTAACCCCATTCAGGGCAGGGAAATGGCACTATAGCCTGTCCGGCGAAGCACTCACTAACAGCACTTCCGCCTTGTCTGGATTGAGTTTCAATTTATTAACCCTCACCCAGTCCATTATCAGGTCTAGACACGAGTTCAGCACAGAAACCACCTCACCTGGATTGGTGAAAAACGAGAGGTAGAGCTGAGTATCATCAGCATATTGCTGACTCCTCAGCCCAAACCTCCTGATGACCTCTCCCAGCAGTTTCATGTACTGTAGATGTTAAACAGCTTGGGGGGACAATATTGAGCCCCGAGGAACCCCATGACATAAATGCCATGGGGCAGAGCAACTGTCCCCCAGCACCACCCTCTGGACACGGTCATCTAGGAAGGAGTGGAACCACCATAAAGCGTTGCCCCCAACTCCTAACCCAGCCAGCCTATCCAGAAGGACACCATGGTCAATGGTGTTGAGAGGTCCAGGAGTATCAAGAGGGTCACACTCCCCCTGTCTCTCTCCTGGCAAAGGTCATCGTACAGGGCGATCAAGGCAGTCTCCATACCCAAACCCAGCCTGAAACCCGATTAAAATAGATCCAGAAAATCCATTTCATTGAGCAGCACCTGGAGTTGCCCGGCCACAACCTGCCGCAACACCTTGCCCAAATAAGGGAGGTTTGCCTTAGTAGTTAACCACTAGCTGTGGGTCAAGGTTAGGCTTTTTTAGGAGTGGCTGAATTATCGCCTCTTTTAAGGTGGTAGGGACCACTCCCTGGTGGTAGGGACCACTCCCTCTCTTAAAGAGGCATTCATGGCCTCCTGGACCCGAGTCCGACCCCCCCGGCAGATCTTCCAGTTAGCCAAGGTGGGCAAGAGTCGAGCGCAGTGGTGGTAGAATGGACAGTTCTCACATATGAATATGAGACATACGGCATATTATGGTAACTTCTCTTTTCTTACATGTTTCTTAGGTGTTTCTCATGCCAAGTCTCCTCCTCTCATGTATACAGAACAGAGGATCTCAAAAATTTGGCCCCTCCAGGTGTTTAGAACATCAACTCCCAAATACCCAAACCAGCCTAGCGAATGGTGAGTGATTCTGGGAGTTTAATTCCAAAACATCTGGGCAGCTGTGATGTAGGACAATCATTAAAAGACTATGAAATTTTCTCACCCCTTATTTCCAAATATTCACCAGTCTAGTTTAAGACTTCTGCTCCACATGGAGAAATCTGATGTAAGAGGTCCTATTTTCTTAGTGGATTCTTCCTTTACTTTTACTGCCACAATTCAGTTTTCTTTCCTGACTGATCAGCTGGTTTTAACTGTTACCATGACATTGGCTTGTGCCCAACTTCCGTCTCAGAGTAATGACTTTGCTCCAACACTGGATAAACAGCTGCCAAGGATGGTTACGTGTAACGACTCTCTTTGTCAACATGGAAGGATTATACTTGATGAATATGAACCTTCCTCTGTCATCCTTTCCAATTCTTCTTAATCACAATGTGTTGCTGGAGAGCCATCCATGGATATTTCAATACCATTTTAGCACAGTAGACATACACATTCATATGACATACCTGCTCATCCACATCACTCTTTTAGACTCTGAATGTGTTTGTTGTGCTTGAGCATCTCTTTCCAATTACTATTCTAGTATTCCTTAAGACTTCCTATGCATAAAATAAATTTGATCTGTTTATCTATACTGCATAATTTGCAGCAGATTAGCAAAGATTCAGCTCCCAGTTCTTTAATGATACAACAACATGACCTATAACCCCTACTCTACTGAAAACTGTTAATAAGAAAAACTGGGAGTACCCATGAATAAACTATTGGGTTGGTAGAATTATGGGCTCCCTTCAATTCTGAGATTAAGAGCAAACTCCTTAGCTCAGAATTCTTTACCTTCAACAGTACAATCCAGGACAAGACAGTTCAGAGTAAGTCTCACTAGGTTCAACAGGGCTTACTCCCAGCTAAGTAGGTACTGGAATGTAGCTTAAATGTGACTTCCAGTTAAGCTCCCCACTGACAGAATAGCTTCTGACAGCAGAATGGGGAGGAGTTTATTTTTCCCCTTTACAAGTACCCCCAACATCTTCAATATCTGTTTCAGAAAGTTGAGGTACTCTCTGATAAGATTTGATGGCTAGTAACGGCAGGCTAGCTCAGTGAAATGGAGTACCTGAGTTTGGTGATGTGCTGATGTACAATTCCCCACTGTATCTTGTAGAAGAAGAGGCAGCCTGTGTGGTTTTAAGCAAGCTACACAGTCCCAGAGTATCCCCAGAAGAAGGGAATGGTAAACCACTCCTGAATACCTTATAACTAGAAAACTCTGAAAAGGGTTGTCATACGCTGAATCAACTTGATGGCAAGTCATTACTGTTGTTAAGGGGCTACAAGATGAAGAGGGAAGGGAAAAAACTACACCCGGGTTTCTCAGTCACCTGGTTCTAGATGAAGAATAGGAAAATGTTGATAGAAATAGGCTCTCTGAACGTTCTGCATCTCTGCAACAGAGACGCCCCCCCAATGAATTTAAACACCACTCATAGCTGTTTCACTCAATGTCTTATTGCTATTTTACCACCTCTGTGTTGTATCCTTATAGTTCCTTTTGTTAAAGTCTAATTTGTTGGCAGCATTGTTTAATTACTGTGTGCTGTTAAGTCAATTCTGACTTATGGCAATATTTTTCAGCATTTTCCAGATAAAGGATAATCAGATGTAGTTGATCATTCCTTTCTTCTGATGGCAACACTTTTCAGGGTTTTCCAGATAAAGCATACAGTAATCAGAAGTAGTTTATCGTTCCTTTCTTCTGGGAGCATCCTGGGACTGTACAGTTTGCCCAAGGCCACACAGACTGGCTTTTTTCCAGGGAGACAGAGTGGGGAATTGAACTCCCAGCCTCTGGCTCTGCAGACAGTTACCTAATTCACTGAGCTATCCAAGGAACTTATAATACATGTAAATGTCATTTTAGGATGATAAGAAACAGTTCTATTTTTCTGCTCCCCTACTCCAAAGTTTATTCTTCAGACCAAGTTATTTTTCTGAGAAATGGGCCATGCATAATTCTTCTGACAACATGGGTAAATGTACTTGGGTCCAATAAAAGTCACATGATAAGCATGCCTAACACCAATAATACATGGCTAATTTTCTTTTAGACCCTTCTAAAAGAATTGTGCTTTCAAATGCAGGAGTCCTGGTGCTGCTACCAGTCAAAAGACATTCCAGCTCCAACCCTCCCACCCCCACATCCCATCCAACACACAAACAAATTTTCTATAGCTAGAAAAGGAACAGAAGAAGCTGTGGAGAAATGTGGGAGGGCTACAAATGGAAGACAGCATTGTCCAGATAGAGAGAAAAAGAGAGAAATAATGTGACTGGGGCAACATGACAAAGTGCTGAATCAAAGCCTCATGTATCCCAGACCCTTTGCCCATTTTCTCTGATAACATAAATGCATAACCTGCACCTACCCTGACTTTCAAAATGGTCCTCTTCAGTATTACAAGCCTCTGGCCTGGACCTTAATCAGGAAGGGGAAAAGAAGATATTTGAGGAAGACATTTGAGAAGGCAAGAGGAAAAGTAGTGCCTTTCACATGAAATATAATTATTTTGCACTTGTGTCACAGATCAAGAACCTGTGGGCCTCCAAAAGTTTTTTAACTGCACTTCCATCTTCGCAGAACATTGATTGTGCTGCCTGGGGCTGATGGCTGCTTAGAATCCAGTAACACCTTGAGGGCCAGATTATTTTTAAGCCTTTGCTTACAAAGTGATTTTGAAGAAACTACCAGTGAGGTAGTCTGTTTCAGCACATCACCAAAAAAAGATAGACAGTGTGTTAATACTGTGGTAACTTAAACTCTAACAGATTTCTTTTCTGTGTGAGAACTTCTATGTGTAAAAATGTGCTGCCTCAAACACAGGAAGTGTGTCTAAGAAAGGGATTTGGTTTCCCAAAAGCTCACATGGAAAGAAACCTGTTTATCTTTAAGGTAACACAATACCTTGCCCCCCACCACCAGCATGTCAAAGTCACTCAGATTACTTAAAGCACTTAATAGGTATTAATTTCTCACCATCCTTCCAAAAGCTTGTAAGGATAGATGATCATCACCATTATCACCATCATCCACATTCTCCTCACCATGAGGAGAGAAAGGGTTTAAGACTAAGTGTGCGATCAGGTGGCTGCAAAGATACACACCTGCTTGCACTAGAAAGGGCTCCCATAGAAAAGAAAACCTCTTGCCTCACAACTCCTGCTAAACATCAAGTACCTCAGTGGTTCTTAACCTTGGCTTACTCAGGTGTTTTTGAGTTGCAACTCCCAGAAATCCCACCCAGTACAGCTGGTGGTAAAGGCTTCTGGGAGTTGCAGTCCAAAAACACCTAAGTAACCCAAGGTTAGGAACCACTGAGCTACATCATAGGTAATGTAGCTCGGAATATCAGGTGCTGCAAGCCAGAACACGGGAGGGCTGTTGCCAGAGGCAACTCATTGGCTGATATGGGAAAGGGAAGGCTGAGCACGATGGCCTGTTATCTGACCCAACAAGGCACCTCTTATGTTCAGTGCCATGAGATATTTAGAATGAATTACAATTCACACAGCAGCTATAGCTCATATTTCTATTGAAACAGGCAGAAGTTAACTACTTGGGACTGCAAAACTCTCAGAATTTCAAAGGTAGTAGCAGCAGCCATTAGCCAAGCTGGAGTGATGGATTCTGTGAGTATTCAAACAGAAGTTTTCCAGGCTCTGGAAATATGCTGATGGTTTTTATTTGATTGCATTTTATAATGTTTTATTCTTTTTTGTAAGCCGCCCCAAGTAGACTCTGTCTAGAGGGGCAGGGTATAAATCGAATAATAAATAAAATATAAAAAATAAATGCAACAATGATAATGACCTGTAGGCTTACAATAAGGGCATGACAAGGGCAAAATGTGTCCTTGAAGAACAACCTTCCTCAGCTGGATGCCTTAGAAATGTGTTGCAGTTATTTTCAGCCAGCCGGCCAAACTCTTCAGCTCAAAACAATCTGAGAAGGCCAGGGTGGAGAAGAATGTTGTCTGAATGACAGATGAGGCTTTTGCACTTGGCGTTACTCAAACAGAGGCTTACCCTCGTTTAGGGAACTCCTCGGCAGCAGAAGGAGCAGGGTCCAGCTTCGATGAGCTCAGAAGTGGTTCCAGACATTTCTGAGAATCATCTTCACTTGCCTTTGCTGATTTGGGGATGGGTGGGATCAAAGCAGCACCCAATGACCTCCTCAAGCTCTCAACATGGCCATGTGGGATCTAGAAAGAAACATGGTAGGAAAAGTCTGAAATTTAAACAAAGGCCATCCTTAATTCTGAGCTACATACATGTATTTCGTTTATATCTTGACAGAAGAGTATAAAAACAGTGAACACATTTGGAAGGACAGCAGATGTGAATATGTCTCATTGACCTTTGCTTTTTTTAAATTAAAAAAAATCACCACTGGTTGCAGTGGCAGTGCTGAAGAATAAAATATTTCTCTCTTTTAAATCAAATTCTGTTGAAGGGGGGAGGGAATAACTTTTTGTGTTACACCAAACTCTCTAGGAAACAAAGAGATAAGAAAGTTCTGTAAGCATGCAAACTCCAGTATTTCAGCTAAAATACCTAACTTACTGAGGTCTGAAAATGTTTGCATCACCTGCAGTGTGAGAGCTCCCCCATCTGTCTTTCCTGTCCTCTTTGCCAGTAGAAATTCAGCACTCACCCTTTTTCCCCTTTTCTTTTTTAAATATTACTGGAATAAATTTAGAACCCCTCTCCAGGATGTATCTATTATTCCTGCCAGACAGCCTTGAGCTCCGGCCAATTTTGCAACTCCTTCGACCTTCCATCAAAATCTGCTTCTCAGAAGTCTATTAATTTTTTGCATTACTGCTCCTCCTGCCGGCCCTCATCAGCTTCTCAGCCTAAATGATAAGGTGTGATCACTGGATTCTTGGTCCTCTCCAAATGTCACTTAACAATTTGTCATATCTAAGTTACCACAAGTTATTAACTCCAGAGGAGCTTCATATCTCATAGAGCGTGCTATACATTGACTGTGCTGAATAAAATGCACGTGATCTTTGTAAGAGACTATTCCTGTGTCAGGAATAGACTTCTAATGCAACATTCCTCACCCAGTTGATGGACCAATAAAAGAACCCTGTCATGGGTACTCTGGCCCACATAATTTTTTGTCTAGCTAGGGTGATGGTACTCCATCTCCCAATGATGCCCATCAGAAGGTCTCCATTTAAGAGGCAGCAATACAGCAGAGTAAAACAGGATCTTATTTCTGTCCCTTTGGCCTAGCCCTCGAAAATAACATGGAAAGCAGGGGGGAGAGTACATTTCCCCTCCCATACACCACCACCAAGCAGGCAGATATATAGCACACTGGCATCAAGGCTGTATATTACACTAGACTACACTGCAAGAAGTTTTTCACATTTTCATTCAAGTCATTCAAGAACGACAAACCATATGCAATCCATTTCTGCAGTTCCTCAAATCTTAAGACAAACTGCCAATTACACAAACTAATGCAAAAGAAGAAGAAAGCTAGAAGCTTAAATATAGTTTGAAGACATGGTTATACAGGCAGGTTTTCCCTACAGCCATTACCTAGCCTATCTTCCTTGTCTTTTCTTTTTCCTCTTTCTTCTTTTTCTCTTTCCCCATCTTGGACTTTGTGATTAATTTGGATTTTACCTTAGTTTATTTTTATGTTAAATGTAAACCACCCAGAGTAGACATGTTCTAGAGGAGCAGTATATCTATCAATCAATCAATCAATCAATCAATCAATCAATCAATCAATCAATCAATCAATCAATCAATCAATCAATCAAATATTTAAATAAATAAATAAATAAATGCTTTCATCTAGAAATAAATCTAGGCCTGTACTGTACAACTGAGGTAGGTGGTATGGACGTTGGCCAATATCCTATTGCTGGTCCCAACTAAAGTGGACTCTTTGACTCAATGGGATTTACTTAAGTGTTAACAGCTGATTCATTGGGTGTGCTCTTAGCTGCAATTAGGAAAAGGCCATTGGCTATTATATTCAGTGAAGAGCAGGAGCACTTGAGCATCATGTGCTTAACAGTTTGGGCATTAATGGAGAATGTAAACTCTAGTGAGTACCCCCCTTCAACATGAATTAGTGAATATGGACCGCACATCAGATTCATAACTGGATTTGGTCAAATGCCCACTTGTTCCTAATAGGTATGTTTGACTTGACTGGAGAACTGGTGGCAACAATTTTGTAGTGCATTCATTCATGCACTGAAAGTGTCCACACAGCAGTTGGCCCAATTAGGCACCTTTCTCCATCTGATACCTCACACCTTTCTCTGCCTGGTCTTCCTTCCCAGCCATCCCTCTTATTTTGTTTAGTTCATGAAGTGACACAATCCTATATTGACAAGACATGGCCACTTCTGGATTACTGCTGCATCACTTATTTGATGCAGTGCTAAAGCAGGAACATCTGAAATAATCTTTTGAATTCATTTTTTAAGGAGGTGTCAACCTGAGCGTGTGAGCTGGGGGGCAAGTAATGCTGAACCATCACACCCTGCCCCACTGAAGACTTCACCATGAGTGTGATCAGGAATGCCCACCTACTGCCCCAAGATAGACATTACTTTGCAAATAGTAAGTTAACAAAAAGCAAAGCAAAGCAAAACGAAAACCCTAGCTCTGCCAGCCAAACAAAAGGTACTGAATATGCATGGGAAAAGACCATACAGATGATTAGATTTACATCATGTAGCCCATGGAAAAAAATTATAAACATTAACACTGAAAATTCCAGCACAAGCAGCAGGACAAATGTTTGTCTGGTTATGCCCGAAATTATATGTAAGTCAGTACAACTGGACCACGTAGTGTCCTTATTGCATAGAAATATGTTAGCATCTCACTTTTTGATGACAGAAATATAAGTTGAACCAAAATTCTTGCAGAAGCAGAGACTTCTGAAATGCTGCTATATATTATTCTATTTGGCCGCACCTGTTGTGTGGCTCCTCTTGACTCTGAATGATTCCCTCCAGCTTCCAAGCAACCTCTGCCATTCTCTGACACTTCATGCTCTCTTCCATGGACTCCATTTATCTCTGGGGAAGTGGGGATGCTCTGAATAGGAGGCATAGGTTTAGAAGCGACCAAGAGTCTTTGAGAAGCAGATCTGGATATGGCTGGTTTCAGAGCTGATCCCTTGGGACCTGCAGGATCAAGAAAGCCTGCAACATGAAACACAGGGAATGTGACATTTCACACATCTCTTAGGGTCAAACTAGATTACCTATTTAGCACATCTGTGTTTGTTTGTTTGTTTGCAGAAGTACCTCCTGAAGTGGTGAATGGCAGTTTCTCATCAAATAAAATTTTCCTCACTGAAATATCCTGCATTTAGCATGATTGGTCATTGGGAAGTAAACTTGACTCTGTTCAGAAGTCTGAATGTTGAGGCACAAATGTTTAGGCATATCCCATTGTGAGAAGGGAAAAAGTTAATTCTGGGGAATAAACATCCCTGTTAACATTTGCTTTGATCCACAGCAACACTGAGAAGATCATACAAAGAATTCAGTCCAGTATTAGCAGTCAGGACTGCTGGAAACAACCTCGAAATGTGAACATATGTTTTTAAAAGGCAAGTGCTTTCTTCTTCTCCAGAAAATGGCATACCCATGCTCATCCTGCAGTTATCTCCTATATCCACCATGTTGATGGCCCAAAACAGATCGCTGATTAAATCCCTACTACAGCTATGGATTCCTCAAACAATATCCACAGGACAGGTATACTGTATCTCTGAAATAAGGAAGAAATGGGCATTCTCCCTCATATGGAGAATGAGAGAAGAAATACAATTATGAAAACAGACTGAAAGGCAGCCCAGAAATTATACAGACTGGTCACAAATTACACCTGCTATATCTGAGTGGCGCCCAGAAGAGAAATAAAGAACTAACTAAGGCTTCTTCACATACTTCATTTTTCAGTTTACCTGTATGTACACACCTCAAATGCATTTGGTATATGCAATGAATAGTTGCTTTCAATCACAGGTACCATGCAGAGAGAGTCAAAACTGCTCGCGGTATCTCCACTACATGTATACATAAAATGCCAAGCAACCATTTGTTATCCCAGCACTGAGAAGCAGCTCTGAGTGTTGGATCTGGAAATATTTGGCATTGATCAGCAAGGAGGAAACACATCCAAGCTGCATGCACTGATGGCGAGAGATCATAACATCACCTACTGGCACGTTGATTGCCAAACCTGTTCTTCACAGCACATTTATTTAATCGCAACTCTTTTGACTTTTAAATAGAAAGAAACCCACAACAGTTTTCAGTCCAAGTGCTTTGAAGACATATGCTGCCACACTGATTGATCATTTTGTATGACAGTGGTGGACTTTAGCCATCCTGCATCTGTTCAGATTAATGTTACAGCTTTGCTGCAAACTGAGCTTTAGAACAGAGATGGTAAACAATATTTTTGTAGACTGCAAATCTTAGAAAGGTTTTCATTTCTTCTTTTAATTTAGGAAAAAGTTGTTCCTGTTTTTTTGCTTTCATAGCAAAAGTTGCTCTGGCTCAGCTTTAGTTCTCCACCCGTAAAATGAGAATAACAGCAACTTAGCCAAAAAGATTATTGCAAGAATGCCACGAGAGTTTAAAGCTTACTCCACAAAGAATATCACCACCATCACCACCATGTTACCAAAAAGCATGTGTAAGTACTCATCATACCTTTATTAGAAGCAAGTGTGCCTTCAGACATTCGCCTCTTCTTGAGCTTGTCCTTGATCTGGGCAGTCTCCATGGCTGCACTGCAGACTTCCTGTTCATCCAGGTGCTCTCTCGGCTGCATGCTGGGTGGTTGGGTAGACTCTTCCATGCCTGCGCTATTGTTAGCTTGCTTCTGAAGGCCTTTCCTGCTGTCCCAGCTCTCCAGAGGGGAAGGATCAGAAGATTTTCCCTTGTCTTCCCACAGACATGATTGTTTCTTTAGAACCGTATGAAGAGATGCTGTGGGGCAATTTACCAAAACAGGCAAAGTTACTCAACCTGCCCATGTGTAGATGAGGCCCCTGTAGCCCTCCCTCTGTATTTTTCCAAAGAACAAATTAGCTTTTGGGGAAGGCAGTGGGAAAATTATGGACAACAGGTTGACCAGATGAAGCATAAGATGTCCTCGCTAACTGTATCAAAGAATTCTAGCAGGCATCATCATCATCATGCAGGGATGAGAAATCAGCACATGCCAAAATTCCACACACCCCATCCCTTCTGTGCCTCTGGTCAGTCAAATTGGCTGCCTTAGGTTGCCAGGGCTATCGGAAGAGAAGAGGCAACTTCTGTGATGGCAAATTCCTTTTTAGACACATTTTGATATGCTATGAAACTGAGCCTGTGATGCCATTTTGCATTTGTCATCTCAAGAGAAACAGCCAGCGTTTCCATTGGCTCTTCAAAAACAATGCATGTCGGCTACTGCCCAGCTGAATGTTAACAGAATGTCAACCATGTGATGGGCATAATCCTTCCTGCTCAGATGCATATAAAAATTAACACCCAACCTGAGCAGGGATAATTTCCCCCAATGAACAGATACAAGATTAAAAGCTTCGCTATACCATGGAGTCCCACACTTAATCAAATCAGAGCCCCAAAGCACAACAGAGAATTTTACTGTTAGGGTCTATGAGTTCTGGCATCATTCACTCATACGAGATACCATTTTGACAGTTGTGTGTGTTATGTGCCGTCAAGTCAGAACCAACTTGCAGTGAGCTTAATCGGGCTTTTAAGGTAAGCAAGATATGTAAGGAGTGGTTTAAAAATTCCACTCCTTTAGTGAGTTTTCATGGCTGAACAGGGATTCAACCCTATTCTAGGGGGTCCTAGTTCACCACTCTATCCCCTACTCTACACTGTGCATCATTTTGGTGATAGTTACAGACATACTGTTGGTTCATCTAATGCAGTGGTCCCCAACCTTGGGCCTCCAGATGTTCTGGGACTGCAACTCCCAGAAGCCTTCACCACCACCTCTGCTGGCCAGGATTTCTGGGAGTTGAAGTCCAAGAACATCTGGAGGACCAAGGTTGGAGACCACTGATCTAATGTGTATCATAGGGTAAGCAGGATAAAAAATCATCAGTGCTTAGACTGCAAAGGGTGAGCTACTTTGTTTATTAAGCTTATAAGGTCAATTCATCAATAAATACTCTCTTATACAATGAATACGGTTAGATATCAAGAAAGATTGTTTCTCAAAGTGCTCCTTTCATCTTGTTTTTTTTGGGGGGGGCATGCATTTTTTTAAAAAAATAACAGCTCCAGACTAGGTTGTACATTGGCTCTGCAACCTGGAGTCCATCACTTCCCACTTCACAAGCAGAGGGCAGGTTTTCTTCATGGAGGCAATCCTTGCAGAACAGTAGTGCTTGTACCAGCAACACACTCCCATGTTACTTCACTAGCAAGACTTTCTGCACACAGACCACAAATCTCATTTCAACCTTTATCAGAAATCACACCCGGGTATACATCCTCCTCACCATCATTTGCTGGCATCCATCCATTCCCATGCAGATGCAGACTGGAATCCATGCTCCCTCCTCTCAGGGCCCTGCATCCAGGCTTCACTTGGGGAAGGCGCCCACAATATATCGCAACAGGAGCTCGGTACTTCGCTTGAAAATAAAAACAGCACGAATGAAATAACACGTACAGGAATAAAAATGAGCACGTCTTTGTTGTGAAACGGTGGGCTATAAATGGAATGAGTAACTAAAGAAATGAATTCTCTAATTTCTCTCTGATTAAGGATATATGCAAAAATTATTATTAAATCACTCAATGCAAGAAATGGAAAATAACTAAGGTGTGACTTTTGCTTATTAATGCTCACTGAGCCAGCTGTCTGCAATCTGATGAAACCAAAGGCATTGGATGCATGTGTGAGATGACTGCTACACTACTAACGTCTGCCTCTTTTCCACACCTTTTGAATTTCCCCTCCTATGGCCACTCCCTGTGCCAAATCCAAGGCTTTCCCTGAGTATCCTCAATTAGGGAAGGATATTAGGGTAAATTACTGCAGTGGAAAATACAGAGGCCATACTAAACTGAGAGTGTTGGGTGAAAAAAAAACTTTCCCTTTGTCTGGTCGGGAATGCCCCAGTGTGCAGGAGATCCTCTTATTCAAGTAACTGTTACAAAAGCTGTTGAATGATTAAGTCCAATAGTGAAAACTGGGCAAAACAATCTTGGTTGTCAAAACACAGAGACAAGTGTGTATGTGTGTAAAACAACCTAAACCCTACATACATCTTTTCTGTGGCAAATCAATGCCATTGCTATTCCAACACTAACGTTGCTTATAAGCCAGTCATTGTGTGATTTTATATATCTACTGTCACCAATAAAAGTATTTGAGAAGGGATTTTCGTGATATGCTGTGATATATTTATGTCCCCAGAGACAAATCTCAGAGAGAGGGAGAGAGAGAGAGAGATTGAGAGAGAGAGAGTTCTCTCTAAATATGACAATGGAGCAAAGAAGGAAAGGAAACGAAGGGAAAAGGAAGGAAATTTTACCTGCTGTAAAATCATCATGTGTGGTCATGCGTAACAGTACAGAAGTACCCAGGATAGCTTTATAGCCAAGAGGTCAGATGCCCTCTGTCTCTATGGTCCTGCACCCACAGCCACGAGTCTGTCAGAACATCCAAAGACCTGCACAGAACAACAACAACAACAAAAACAAGATCATTGTGGGCAAAACGTTACTCCACAAATGAAAATCCTAAACCTTCAGAGACTGTTTCATACCAAGGGATGGGAAATTTTTCTTGTTTGAGTGGCAGCTCCCAGAATCCCAGCTGATGGCCGTAGAGGATGTCGTCTCAAAAAAGCAACCTTTCTCATGTAGTCCACAAAAGTGAGTTTCTCCGTCTCTGTTGCATCCATCAAGTTCCCACATATAGATTTTTTCCTTATTTACATCAGCGTATTGAACAATTTAAAATTATGAAAGACAGGCAAACTTAAAAACAAATTAGAATGTTGTGATAATTAGACTGCTTTTGACCGACTGGGGGACAGTTGGTCAAGAGAACCTCCCCGAAGTGCAGAAAAGCGTAGTATACTTGGGTGTCCCCTGAGCAACAGCGTGCAGCCAGCCAATCCTTCACCTCAGAAGGGTTCCCCACACATAAATAAATAGATGTACAGTGTGGGTGGCGGGTATCATCTTCTATGAAGGTATTATAAGAGTTTCTCTTGCTGGGTCAGGTTTTGGGCTGCAGAGGCAGACCTTGGAAGTTCAATTCATCTGGTTGGGGCGACTGTGAGATACAGGAAGCTGGATTAGATGGGCCCTTGGCCTGATCCAGCAGGGCTCTTCTTATGTGCTTATGTAACATTCTGTTTAATTATTATTATGAAGAATAATTTATTTTTCATATGCCATTTTATGTACATCAAGGTTCTCTTTTGTCCTCCTTTTTGGTGATGTGTGGCTCCTCTACGTGGCTCAGGCAAAAGGTCCATCTAATCCAGCCCTGTGTTCCTATTGCTGCCAAGCAAAAAGCAAAGCGTGCTGCTTATATACCACCCCACAGCACTTAAAGCACTCTCTGGGTGGTATAATAATGCAGGCTATATATCCCCCCACCTCCCAGAAAGCTAGGTTCTCAGAAGGATGGAAGGCTGAGTGAACCTCAAGCCAGCAACTTGGGATTGAACCTGAGTTTTTGGCTGCAAGACAGTAGTTTGACCACTGTGCCATGAGGATCCAACCAAATGCCTTTGAGACACCCATTATCAGGATATTAATGCACAAAGATCCTCCTGTTAATGTTCTCTCTTAATGATGTTCCTGGTATTCAGATGCACAATGAACCAAAAGTTGATGGGACTAATAACTATGGATTAGCCTCATCCTTCACTGCCAGACAGTTTATGAAGGTAGGCCAATATGTACAACTACAAGCAATAACAAGGGAATCACAGTGATACAGCACAAACATATTCTCAGAGCATAGAAAGGGACAGAGATCTTCATGGATGTTGGCAAGTCATCAGATGCAAGTCCCAAGTTCAAGTCTGAGATTTTAGTACCAAGGACCAAGCCCCAAGTTCAAGTTCCTATTAAAAACTTTTTCCCTCAGAAAAAAAAGGAAGGGGTAGATGGGTTCCCAGTTGTGAGTTGAGTCTGAGTCATTAGGGGAGGAAACCCTAAGTCAAGTCTCTGGTGCAATTTAAATCTGACTTGACAACGAGTCCCATGACTCAAGTCCCCATCCCTGGAGATTTTCTTCCTCAGGGAAGATGGTCACTCTGCACGTTTCCAGATTATCAGCTCAGCTCTGAGTGTTTCTATACATTCAGCTCCTAATGCTACTCATTCAGTGCTCTTATGCTATATGTTACACGAAGAACCTCATTAGAAAGTGAGTTTACACACATCAGGGGCCATGGCAGATTGTGATTTGTATTTTTCAAACACATTTTCTCAAAAAAAAAAAAAAGTACACTTCCGAATATGTTGTCATCTTCAAGTATAGTTTTTAAGGTCAAAGTTGAACAGTATAATAATATTTGGAGAAGAGCGAAGTCCATTATTTTCTGAACTGCACCTGTCCAGGAGGTACACATCACCAAGCCTGATGCATCCAATCTTGCTTCCCAAATCTTTTTCTCACAAATTGATCACTTTGGGGAAGTTTGTGTTAGAATTCAGAAAGATCATATTCCTCAAGGGTCTCTATACATCACTACATATTTTAACCATGCTGGAGATAACCTGGCTGACATTTGAGGAGATTGTGCTTCTATTCTTCATCCCAGTGATCACAATTTCAGGGCTGGCCCAAGACACTTAGCTGCCTGAGGTAACGATCTTCCTCTCCAAATTCCATGTACGAAAAGCAAATGAGTCTGGTTGTTCTGTTGTTCAAGGACTGGTGATGAGACAGCCTCCTCCACTACAATGGAAAGCATCAGAGTGGCTTGAGGGCATCGAACAGGCTGTGCATTAGAAACACTCCTTATTCAGTATCTTGTTTCTGCCCCCCACTCTCTACCACTTGAGATGAATCCCTTCATTCCAAGAAATGGTAGGTCCAGTCCTGCAGATTTTGTACTATCTCAAAAAAGACAGAAGAACTATGGGGAAAGCACAAAACAGTAACCATTTATTCATGACATTATGCAAGCCCATGGAAAACACCAAGTGTGGGTGCATGTCATAAATCTGGGTTAACCAAAAAGGCCCAGTTCTGCTGATATTGCAGCTTACTATAAAGTTCACATTAATTTCAACATCACGCAAGCTCGGTTATGATGATAAACACTTTTGTCAATTCCACAGACTGTTAGTAGAGGAAAGAAGAGCCATTTGCACAATAAACCAAGCGTGGTAACAGTCCAAAGAGACTGATTTGTGAGGAAAAAGATTTGTGAGGAGAAATTGGATGCATCACACTTGGTTAAACCATGACAAAAGAGTGTGAGCCTAGTATGAGCCTCGTATGAAACAACCAGAAGTATTTATTCATTCTTCCACTAAAAATGAAATATTGAGAATAACTCTATATATGCCTCAACATGAAATAAATATGCAGGGATAAAATGTCAGCCAATTAACTGTAAATTTAGATGAGCTGACCATTTATTAATTTATTTGTCAATTTATCATGCTGCAGCCTGCCAGCCATTTCTCAGGCATCTTCCCTGTACAGCAATATATTTATATTCCCCCCACCCACCCAAATTGTGCTCTGCTACTTGAATTCCTAAATTTAAATCACACAGAGGTGTAAAAAAATACACTCATCTTAAAAACAAAAAAGCCCTTGCCTGCCATTTCTTTATTCTTATATTCTTAAATTCCTTAAGTTTTCTTTTCTTTTTCAAAATGGTATAATCTACAACTTTATGAGATGACAGGAAGCCAGATGAATGATAACTAGATAAGGGAGTCCTAACATTTATTGGGACACACTCTCAGCTTCACTCTTCATCTCTGCTTCTTTTTTCATCTCTCGCTTGATGGCCTGTCATGTCACAGTAGCTGTCCTGGGATTTATCAGCTTACCTGCTGTGATGTAAAAAAGAGAACCGCAAGCCTTATGTAAAGCCTGGGGTGGAGGGAGATTATGAGTCTTTGGATTTATTTATTTTTGAAACATACAGGCTGAAATCTTGTTGTTCAGCACAGTAAATCATACAATAGGTAGGCCCATTGAATTGGTGGGGATATGGTGAGTCAACTCCTCTGTAGGTACCACTGATTCAAAATGGACCTATTTTGGTTGTGAGTTGCAGTAGTGTAGTAAGTTACAACTCAAGTAGGTTCATTTGAATCAGTGCAACTTATGGAGGAGCTGGCTCACCAAATCCCCATTGATGCAATGGTCCTGCTCTTGTGCAACTTGCTATGCTATGAAACAGGATGTCAACCTAAGTCTGCCACTTCTTTATGTACACTAAAGAGTCACTATTTTAAAAAGACCACATATAAAATTAATAAAACACTGTTCAGATGACCCTCATCTTCAAGTGGTCAATCACTCAGTCCCTGTAGAATCTATGCAAATACACATAAACATCTACTGGACATTAAACATACAAGCCATCAATTTTCAGGGGCACTGAATCAGAAATTTATGTGCAGCAATACTGGGTATATAGCAGCCACTTGATACAAGCTCCATCTTCCCCCTCCATGTACTAATTAGTCTCACTGGCTGAAATCCAGTAGTATGTCAAACTACAGTAGGTGCATTGAATCAATGGAACTTACATAGACATTGATTGACTAAATCCCCACTGATTCAATGGACCTACTCTAGTTGTCATTTACAACCAGTTTTCAGTCAATCTCTTTTCTCAGACTTCTATTCATTGAGTGAAAGGTAGAACTGGATCATAAACCCAAATTTCCTTCTTTGCACCCTTTCCTACCAGGTATTGGATGTTATCATGGCTATTTTGATTCTCTGAACGGTAATATCAAGCAAAAACAAATAAAAAATAAAGAAGACAAAAATGTTTAGCACCTTAAAGACTAACTGCTATATTTTGTTTGTTTGTTTGTTTATTTATTTATTATATTTGTGAGCTCTTGTGGACAAGTCCACTTCCTCATACACATTTGCACAACCAGCTGATTAATGAGGAGTTCTATACCTCACCCTACACTGGACTGCCCAGCCTCTGTGACATTATGACAACCCACTGCCTTGGTATCATTTCCTGGCCCTGAAATCTCAAGGAACAGAATATTGCTTACTGGCAATGCAAGAACCATTTTAAATGGTTTGGGTATTTTGCTTTTCCAAAGCAGCAAATACGTAAAGCATACAAACTCAAAAGCCTATATAAATCGATTTCATATACAGTATAGCCTTTAAAGCTTTATATGAAAGTGACTGGTCCCATGAAACAAGTTACCCATTAAAGGTTTTGCCAGAAAAGAAAATAATCACTGTATCTTTTTTTTTGCATAGTTTTTAACCTACAGAATTCAAAATGGCTCCTTAGAGCAACAGATTCATCAACAGCGTTAGAGGTGGCAGCCATACTGAAAAGTTGTGTATGGCAAATTTAATCACAAATTAACTATCCCTGCAATCACAAGCAGAAGTGAGCAAGCAGGGCAAACTGGTTCTGACTCTATACTCCAGCAGCAATTAAACAGCAATATTGAGTGCCAGGTA